TCATGGACTGTGCACCCCATGGAATGCTCCTGTCTATACCTTTGTATTTAGTCAAATTTCTGGTTTTATTTTCCTGTTGAAATTTTATATATGACCTTCTCTTCTTCAGAATTCACATAACTAGGATAGCCATGAATTCCTCACAGGCAATTGCATTTAGTCAGAATTGTGAGTAATTGATAGCCATATTGAATTGAGACCATGTGCTAATGTCACTTCAGATTTAACACTTGAATTATGTAATTTAATCCCTCACAGCAGCTTCAGAAGATTTTCATTATTCAAGCATGAGTAATGACTTTGAAAAGTTAAGCAATACTGCACATGCTTTCATAGGTAAACTCATGATAGGCCTTGATGGCAGACCCTAGATTCACTGATTGTAAAATTATTAACTATATGGGTAAAAACATTTCCCCAATTGGAGACTCCCTTCATTTGTTTCCTAAAACAGCATTTCATTTTCCTTCTCGTCTTAGTCTTTCCAAAGAACCATCATCCTCAGCATGATCAGACTTGGACCAAATCTCTATGATGCTAGTAGTACTGTGCCAAGTCTCAGGGGGAAACATACTTAATAGGTGGACTTAGTATCAGGAGTCACAAGTTCAACTAGTAAACACAATCCATATGCTCGTTTTGCTGATTAAGTACAAGTGATCCTCATTGAACTGCCTAGTAGGGTCTATTTCCTAGTGGGTGGCTCTAACACTGTTTCCAAGGGATGATATACCCCCAGTATGAAATATCACAAATGACAGTGACTCCAATCATATGGGGATCTATCTTCTGCAAAAGCCTGTACCATTTTATGTACATTCACCCCCAGAATGTCAGGCATAAGGAGTCATGGAAAAGTTCACATGTTCAATGTACAATGTTCAGCTTGTAGCAGAGAAAATAATTTCAAGTGATGGTAGGAGAAAGATGATTAGCTTTTGGAGACAGGAGTACCAGGATTGGGTATACAAGAGCTTTGGAATATTTTAAAGATGTGGAGCAATGAAGAAATATTGCTTGCCTTATAGATATGTCAAATGAATGCAAGTAATTTATGGGACAGGTGGCTAGATAGTTTCCAGTACTTCGCTTTAAGATCATCTATACACCAGAACTCCCCAAAATTCTACAGGAGCAAATATCATTCTCTATTCCTTAAGTTTTCTAACCATTACTTTTCCTTTCAAAGCCCATTAGTTGTATGCAACCTCGAAACATTCCTTACAGAATTAGAAAAGCAATCTGGTTTCTTCAAATGCTACAGGTCTCACTCTTCACTACCAGAGACCATAAGGTAGTAGATTCCAAGTTGGTCTGCCCAGAACTAATACAGAAATAGAGCTTGTTATAGTCAAGAGGCTACTCAGAGCAAAAGAAAAGAGACAGTATTTTAAGTGTGTCCACATTCATAATTTTAGAACACTCATTTTTTCTCAGAGCACAATCATAGGAAGGGATGAAGGAGGCTGGTTTAGATTTTTTTCTAGTCCTTCGGCAAAAATATCTACTGTCTCTGTGCTGTCAGTTTACAATTTCAAATCGATAATTCCATGGTCTCCTCATGTGGCTGCTTCTTTCTGCCACATTCATTTTCTTTACTGTTATAAAATGTAGACATCAAACAGCTTTCTTTCCTAAAGCCTACCAATGCTTTCTGCTGCTGTCCACATCCTTGATTAAGTGGGTTTGTTATCAAGATTTCAGGGACTTGTCTCTAACCTATTGCCATTATTTCCTTCTTCTCTCTAGACTATCAATCAGCATAACTTTTCCTACCACTTTCTACTTCCAAGATTGAGGTATATCTAAATGTCAAGATATTATAAGAGTGTTTTGAAAATACTACCAGTCAGTCTTGGAAAAGGAAAGGGCAGGTAAGAAAACCAAACAAAACCAAAAACTATTCACAGTATTCTTTGTGTTTTGTGCATTTATATTCACAAACTTGAACACTAAAAACCTTAGTAATAGTATTTTCTTCCACTTAATAGACATGCATTACTAACAGAGATAGTTTAAAGAGAGACTGATGATTAAACTTGTTTGTCAATATGCAAAGTAGATTTGATATATCTGTGAAAGTGACATCCAGAAATTTTCAAATAGGGAAGACCCACTATCATAATTTTTGGCACCTTCAAAAGAGTTGACCAGATAGAAGTAGGTGAAAGGAAAAAGCAGGTGCTGCCTGTCTTTGTTACTTTCTTAGAGGATGCATCTATGCTGCTGCTGGTGCTATTGCTGTAGCTGCCATCCTTGACAGACATTACATTATATGTTTGAACTTCTACATGAACTGAAGATGTGCAGCTCTCCAGGACTTTTTCAGTCCTTCCCAATCAGACTGGAACTACTGAGGCATATGCTAAGCACCCACCAGATTCCAAGTATTTGCAGTGTACAAATAATTACTGTTAGATTACTCAGCCCCTATTGAGTAAGCTATTCTCATTAACACATTTTTATATATAATTATGATTTTGTGTATATTCTACTTTTCTAAATACTATTTAACTATTTCCCTAGAGAAAGCAAAGCCTAGTAAGGAAGGATATATGTAGAGAGAATAAGAGAATAATTTATAAATGTGACCCTAGAAGAGTAGGACAGAAAGACGCAACATACTTTTCCATTTCTGATTGTGGATTGCCATATTTGCCATATTTGGTTGTGATAAACTTCAGTTCTCTTTGCTAGGCACTTAGTTGTGTTTATTCAGAGAACATTCTTGGTTATAGCATGCAAAAAGACAAGTCTTGGTTTCACATAGGAACAAGCCTAAGTTCCATTTTGACAATCCGTTCCACCTCCAGCCATTCTACAGAACATTGGATGTCAGAAACACTCTGGAAACTGTCATACATCATCTGCATACTGTCATACACTTGAGTGTTCCCTGTCTTACAGACAAATTATCCAGATGTCAAACTAATTTTTTAGTTTCCACTTGAAAGCTTTGTGTCACCTAGGTCTAGTCAACATTGAATCAATTTTATTCACTTTCTCCCAACAATAGAAAGACCATGTTTCTAAGAACACTGTGCTATTATATATTTTGGTTTGAACAGAAAATTCAGTTATTCTGACATTCTGGTTAGCAATGATGCCTCCAATATATGTGTCCTATTGATTCTGCAGCAATATTTTTATTATGGTTTCTCTGCCATAAACTTCCTTTTCATAAAAACCTCCTTAAGAGAAAGTGAGCTCTGAAGTATTCTCAAATCCTACATGATATCTTAAGTACTATGTATTATATATATTCTACATAATTAATAGTTGCTAAATGAAGGGCTCAATCTAAAAGATTCAGATGATTAAAATATAGAGTTAGATTGCAAAGAAAAACTAAGTAAGAGTTGTATCTAAGGTGACTTCAACATGGTGAGAGAGAGGTATAAGAATAAGAATGAATTAGAGGTAGTGTGTGTGTGTGTGTGTGTGTGTGTGTGTGTGTGTGTGTGTGTCTGGGTGTGCTCATATGTATGTGTACGTGTAAAGACCAGAGGATAATCTTGGGTTTCATTCCCCCCTTAGTCACACGCTTCCTTATATTTTGAGATAGAGCCTATCACTGGTCTGGAGAGATTAGGATGGCTGGTCAATGAAGATCAGAATTCTGCCTCTGCATCTCCAGTGCATATCATCATACCATTGATTTTCCTCTAATATGAATTTGGAGAATTGAACTTTGGTACTCATTCATGTATGATAAGGACTTTTAGTGTCTTAGCTTTCCCTCTGCCCATGTCCTGCTTGATCATACTTAGTACACACTGTATGGTGTTGGGATGTATGAAAGTCACTATTACAAAGGTTGAGGGCTAGTGGAGAGTAGATTTAGGTTTAATTCAGCCTTTCATAGTTATTCAGCACACAAATTAATGATCAAATACAAGATTAAATACAAATCGATATCAAGTTCAATCAAACATAACAGTATTTTCTCTTCTTTTGGCTGTGACTACCTTAGCACATTCATTCTCCCTCGATTACTCATATTCTCCCCAAAAGTGAATGTGGCTAATTCACCACTTGGGTGGTGGGATGCATTATATCCTTGGAGTTGCAGTAATCCTCTTGCTACAGAACTGTGTCATGCTATTCTTCATCCATGACTTTTCACTCAGTTTTCTTCTTCACCAATTGGCTGCTGTCTAATCCATTTATAGATGCATTATTCCCTCAAGGAAGTCTTTGGAAGAAAGTTTTTGCCTTCAACACTACTGAAATCCCTTTGTTTTTTGTGCTTGTCATCTAAGCTCACACCTTCTAGTTTATGTGAAAAATTAACTGAAGCATTGTCCATGCTCTTCTCCCACTCTAATAGTAAATTCTAAGCTTCATGAACACAGAGGCTCCGACTTTATCTCACTATAAGACCACTGCTGCCTAGGATAGTGCTTAGCAGAAAGGTGATTACTTAATAAATGTCTATTACTAACTAAATGAACTGATGTCTGCTTTCCCCTTTATCTATTTACAAACACACTTTCTACTGGTAAGAAGTTCACAAAAGATTTTATGAGAAGCAGTGATTAAGCACACATTAAATAGCAAATGACTCACTTATATATTAAGAATGCTTATTATTATAATCTTAAGCATTCTATAAACTGGATCAGATATACTATGGATAGAAACAGTTGCTACTGGTCCTGGTGCGGGATGTCTTAGGGACTTTTGCTTTTGTGAAAATGACTTCATTCTCCTAGCTAGAACATGAACTAATATTTATTAATAGGAGCATTTGAAGCAATTCTCAAGATCAATGGAAATGCCAATTACAATGAGATGGACAGGCAGAAAAGAATACATTCTTGTCTCTATTTCCCTTGACCTGCAAGAGTTACACTCCTGTTCTATTTTCTGAACAATCTAGTAAAATTCAATTTAGTTTTTCAATTTGTCTCCAGCCAGGTTTCCTTCTGTCAGCTATGCAGAAATCTTAATGCTGGCCATGTAAAGTCACAGGAGGAGGACAATGGGAATGAAATTACCTGTGCATTTGCGATCTGTGTCTTCTTTTTTGGACCCACTAATTGTCAACTTGCAGTTGAAGTTTTCTTCCCAGTATTCAGCAAACCAGACATTTCTCCTGTTGTTCTCAAGTGTGCGGGATGTGAAGTAAGCATCAAACCCTAAACAGAGTTAAATGAGAAGGTCACAACTCACTGAGAGTATGGCTACCATATAGAGAATAAATTAAAGGATCAAAAGTGTCAGCAATGGATTGTAGAGTAGAAGACTTATTTATTTGTGTCCATCAATATACTAGATTGATGACTATCAAATAAACACAATCTCTTTCTCTCTCTCCCTTCCTCTCTCTCTCCCTTCCTCTCTCTCTCTCTCTCTCTCTCTCTCTCTCTCTCTCTCACACACACACACACACACACACACACATTTATTAGTTAAACTACAGAAATGGCTCTAATTCAATTAGTAAGGGAGAAGTGTGATGTGCAAGCACTATTTTCAATATGAAATCTACACTGAAATAAATAAATAAATGTTTGGATTTCTAGTGTGCTAAACCAGAGCAAATATCTTCAGTAGTGATGATTGATATTGTCAACTTGAGGGTCTTGGCATCTATGTGGCAAGTCTCTGGGAAGTGGTGATGATTTCTATTAGATTAGTCAAGGTAGGAAGACCTACCTTAACTGTGGGAAGGACCATTCCATGGGCCAGGGTTCTGGAGAGAATAAAACAAAAGAGCAAGCTCAACGCTAGTACTCATTGCTCTCTGTTTCTGTGGATGGGCTGTGACAAACTGCTTCCTGAAATAACTTCTGTTTCATGCCATAATGGGCTCTACCCTCCAACTGTAAGCTTCCTGATACTCTTTAAGTTGCTCTGGTCAAGTATTTTGTTGTAGCATTAAGGAAATTTACTGATATATATATATATATATATATATATATATATATATATGTATGTATGTATGTATTGTCATCTTCAGATAGTAACTTGTAGTTTCAGTGCTTACTATAAAGCTGGCTGTGCAGTAATTATTATCAATATTCTCAATTGATACATTAGAAAACAAAAGCTTAGAAAACAAATCATGACATGTCCCAAGTCAACCATTATTATGCTCTAGTCTACATTCTTGATTATTTCAGCTATACTGGTCAGTGAGTATCATTCCTTTGGTGTTGTCCCATCGTGGAATTGGCTTCTCAGTTAAATGGGAAATAAACTAGATTTTAGAGAGGCCACAGGTAAATAAGCCTGTCACTTTGATGTTATTCATGGCACATCCACATTAACAGAGACTCAAGGGCCCAACTACTATACAATTCTGTAGCTGCTGTTTTCTGGAGTAGGTAACTTTAAATATTACAATAAAGCTATGAGGTCTCAAGAGGATCAAAGTACAAAAGAAACAAAGATTAGACTCAAACTATCACTTGAATTAGGCTTGAATGTCAGGTCCACTAATATCACTATGTCATAGAAATATGTGAAGTCCACAGTTTGAATTGCAGATATTCCTTTTTCTATTTCCAGAAATAAAGATGACACCATCTCCTTCTATTACTCTCCAAAATGCCTCTGTCACTTTCCACTGTGCTATCAGTGATAGTAGGAGCAATACAGAAATTTAGAAAGTCTAAGGCCAAGAATCATAAGAGAAGGTAGAACTACTAACATATAAAGTATCCAGCTTTTCCATATGTCATAAAACTTGTGTTAAGGTTTACACTGACAAAAGCAAAAACATTTTACATACATTTTCTCTTTAAGTGTTACATTAGCACTAGGCAGTGGGTATTACTTAGAACCATACTTTAAAGTCAAAAGTGAAGATTCAGAAGAATTTTTTATCATGGTTCCTGGTTACAAACATCATTATCTGTCATATACACTACAAAGCAGGCTCATATTTTGGTGAGTGTCATAATAATTTGGACAATTGATCATGGAAATGAAGAGCAGATTAACTGAGTAAGAAGGGAAACTGGAGTTTCATTTTCTCTTTCATCTTCTGGAAATTTCCATGCTCACCAAAGATCCAGGAAAGTCCTATGTAGATCGCTGTGATCCACACACCATGCCATTTTCCCTCTTTTCTAGAAGATGTCCCATTATGAAAGAATTAGTACTACAGGGGAAACTGGTAGTTCAACAAGCAGAAGATAAACTATTATGTATGAGATCAGATGATAGAATGGGGAAATCAATCAACTCAGTAAATGGTTTTGTGGTCTGTTAGTAACCCGGGTTTAGAAAACAGATCTTCTCACAGAAACACAAAAGGCAGATGTATAGATAAAATAGTGTCATCCACTGAGGCTCTTCTTGATGCCTTGCTTTTGCTTGTCTGAATCAGACTTTTTATAGGACCTGACAATCTGGTTCCACCTTTTTATCAGCTCATGGGAGAAGACAAATGGATTCTTATTAGGTCCCTCTATTCATTTCCATCAAGAAAGCAGAAAACCAATAACATGTAAGTTCTTCAAGGTTTGAAAAGCATCTTATTACAGCCAGATATTTACATTGCCTGAAAGTAGACATGGTAGCCCTTTTAGTGAGGAGCACTTTGCAATGCTCTTTACTAACATATAAGGTGTTTCTGACATGGAGTTGAGATAAAACTTCCCTTCTGCCTACTCATTGAAGTCCCTACATATAGTCTGTCATTACAGTATCAGAAGCCTGAAGATTCTACTTATCTCTCATTACAAACAGGACACATAATATAAGAACTTTAGTGACCCAGGTAGGGCAGACACTTTGGGATAGAATCAGACATGAAAATAACTAATAACCAGGCTCATTTCCTTCCCCATCTCCCTCCCACTGCTTGTGTGTGAAATAAAACTTCTCGTCATCTCTATTAAATTTCAGCAGAAACAGGATCTGAACATATAACAGTACAATTAAGAACATTACCCGAGTTTTAAAATACAACCCGAGATACAAAGTCCCCTAGTTTTGATGAAAAGGAATCATAATCAAAGTTTTGTTAAAGGAAAACTGTCATTCTTTTTATATGAAACAGATGGAATTCTCTGTGTGATTTGCTTCTTTAACTGAGCTTATGAATATCATTTGCTGAGTTCCTTTCTAGGCTGGTCTGAAGCAGTATCCCACTGGTACATGTTCAGCAGAACTGCTATCATTTGGGATGCTAATTCTAAGCAAGAAGGAGGAGCAGAGTTTCAACAGGCATGACAAACTGTTCTAGCCTGGTTCCATCCTCATTGAAATTATGAGATAGAAATAATCCTCAGTTACCACATGAAATCTGTAGAGTATAACTTAATAGGAGTATGATTCATCCTAGGGACCATTATTAGGAGGTGGCCCTTTTAGATGAAAGGCAAAGGAAGGTCTTACAAGAGGGGAATATGAGGAATACTATTAAGGTGGCTTTAGCAGGTCACAAGACAGAAGAAGGCTTTACATGCCATCGAATACATGTAAAATATACAGCAGCTAATAGTTCTAGGTTTTCAACCCTGGGAGTGCATTACAATCCTAGGAACATCCTTATAAGCTCAAGTGGGAAGCAGCAACAGAACTTCCAACTTTACACCTCAAGTGCAAGGACCCTTAGCTCTTCTTACTGCCCTGCTTCCAGCTCAAGAAGCCTGGCTAGTGTTTAAAAATCAACATGTTTATCACAGCACACAATATCTGAACTGTTAAGTGGGTTTCACAGTGAAACCCAGATCCTCTGGAAAATCAGAAGACCAATCTGGCATCTTGTATTTATGATGGATATGGGGCATTCTACTGTTGAAAGGTATGTCTCTCTTCAGTGCACTTACACTGAGTTCTGAGCTGTGTTTAAGCTCCTTTGCAAGAAGAAAAATCAAGCTGGATGTTTTGAATAAAATACTTTACTAAACCAATAAAAACATAAAAAACTTAGGAAAGCATCAAGGTATATTAAAACGGAAAAGTCATTCATATTTATACACTCAGATAACAGCTCTTTACAAGATGGATTAGAAATCTAAATTTGTAATAGCTACACAAACAAATAAGCACAAATAGCAGTTACTTTACAGGTCATATGAGTAAATGTACAAGGGTGTTAATATTCTAAGAAAAAAAGAGGAAGTGTGTATGGTTCTTTGAGGGTAGGGGACAGAAAAGAAGAAGAGGAGAGATAACTATGATGGAATTGCCATGCCTAAGCAATTCTAAATTCCCTGGGATAAAAGAAGAGAGAACCTGTCACAGAAAAAAATGAAGCCATATCTCCAAAACACAACAAAAGAAACACAGATAGGTATGGGGATATAATATACTTGAAAATAAGGTGGCTTTTCACATGTGTATGGAAATAACGCCCTTCTTTCAATCATCTAACAACCATCAACTTGTTGGGGTTAGGGATGTGATCTTTTTATTGTTATTATTATTATTATTTATCTTTATAACCAAGTCCATTTAAATGAAAACAAACATTTATAGACAATATTTGGGAATTTGGGCATTGTTCTTTCCAAACTACTTCCTGCTGGTAAGGGGCGTTGTCATGGGGGATTCTAAGAAGATGCAGAAATCCTGGCTTTAGTCTGCATGGCTGCTTTGTCCAGCTGTTTTGAATGTAGGATCACCTGGAATTGGGGTGGGGGGATGGGAGGGGAGGGTGGTTAGGGTGCATGTGAGAGGGCAGAGAGGGTAAAAGGGAGGGAAGAAGGGAAGGAGGGAGGGAGAGGGAACTTGGATTGACATGTAAAATAATAAATTAAATTAAAAAAAAAAATGTTTTGACTCCAAAATTTAAGTTCAAGGACAAGTTACTGGGGAAAAGGATTTCTATTTTTCTTTCCACAGAAAATGAAAAGCTGTGGGTTCCTTCCAGACTAATGTGGTTTGATCAAGCCAGACCGCCTGAAACAAAGTACTAGGGATGTGATCTTATTGTATCCCAGTAATTACACATTATCTAATCCACAAGGTATATTGAGAAACCTCATGTAGACAAATGTGAACAACAGTCACTGATCTGGAAGCTGACTTGAGAGGATGAGTATTAATCACATGGTTGTAAGAACTGGTGGGGTGGGGGTTTCCTGCATCCTTGATTCAGGTGTTATATAGAGTTTTGTTGTCATGCCTCCCTTCTTGGTTCCACACATACCTGCGTATTCTTAACTTGACTTTCAGGACT